CATGGGCCAGTGAAGCAATGTCCTCCACAACTAGACTGAAGAACAAAAGGACAGCAACTTGTCTGTTCCCCTTCCCCGATTCCCCAACGCTGTTCCCTCCCTCAAGTCCCCAATAAAATCTTAAAAATCAAACAAACAAACAAAAAACATTGCTTATTGTGGCTTAAAGAAATTCTTAGTAAATTCGAGGATAGATGTCTAATTTGACTAGAGACAAGGTATTTTTTTTTCCAAAGCATAGTTGACATACTCAAAAAGAAGAGTGATGGCATATAGGAAAACTTTGAATGTCAGGGTTAGAAGTTTGGAAAAGGGGAACTGTTCAAGTATTTAACCAAAGAAATTGTTTTAGGTAGCATTCTTCCCACTTCTTTCTATCAGTATTTATTATTGTTTTTAAATTTAAATTTAAAATTTTTGTTTTTAATAGATAATACAATCATATAGTTTAAAATTCAGAAAGTATTAAAGGTTGAAAAATCATCCTATCAACAGTTCGGTTCTCCTAGAATCAGTCAATGTTACCAGTTTATTGTGTTATCTTCAGAGATACTATATATACAACAAATTATGTGTATACATGTGAGGGTTATGTGTGTGTGTGTGTGTGTGTGTGTGCGTGTGTGTGTATACACACACACACGCACACACACAAGTAAATGTAAGTACAAATATACACACATTTTTTAATACACAAATGGGAGTATGACATATTTGTTATTCTGGTAGTACTTAGAAATCAGTCCATATCAATATAAATGTTGCTTCTTTCTCTTTGACTTGTTTATGTATATTTAAGTTTTGCCATTTCAAACAGTGCAGCAGAGGATAACTTTATACATGTTTCATTTTCATACATTTGGAAATATTTATATGCTAAATTCGTAGAAATGGAATAGCTGGATCTAAGTGTTTGAACATTTATAATTTTGGTAGATATTGCTGAATTATTTTCCTTAGTATTTGTTATCAATTTGTATTCTCACCATACTCTATTTCCTTGTATTCCCCTCCAGCACAGAATGATCAACTTTCTGAATTTTGCCATTCTGATGGGTAAAAAAATGTTCTCTTGAATTTTTTTTTTGTAAAATATAACAAAACTTATCATTTGTACTTTTAAATTATATTTTTGTTTATAGGAGATTGAATACCTTTGCACATTGTAACATCAGTTATATTCCTTTTTTGTTGTTAACTTTTAACTTCATATCCTTTGTCCATTTTTCTGTTGGATTTTTTTTCTATGAATATGTAGGAGCTTTTTATTTATTAAAAAAAGAGCCGTTGGTGATATGATCTAATATATATGTATATATATTCCTTTTTGTCATTCAAATTTGGACTTATATTAGTTTTTTGCTATGCTAGAGTTTTATTTAGCCATATTAATCCCTTAAGGCTTTTTGGGTTTGCGTCATGCTAAGCTATTCTGCTCTAACATTATAAAAATCATCCTTTCATGTTTTATATTATTACTATTATGTGTTTATTTTTATTTATTTATTTATTATTTTTATTTATTTATTTTTTAAATTATTTTTTATTATGAAATACACATTTTTTAGAATTAGTTTCAGCTGTACAACACAGTACAATAGTTATACTTTTTACCCCTTGAAGTGACAACCCCCCTCCCCCAATCCGCCACCCCACTTCCCCCCAATATCATACATATCTATTACAATTCCCTTGCCTCCACTCCCACACTATACTCCACGCCCCATTACTATATATATTCACTTATAGTTGGCATACAATACTATACAACATCAGCTTCAGGTGTACAGTGCAGTGATCAAGCCTCTGCCCCATCCATGATGTGGTTTCCCTAGCATGTCCCTTTGGCAATATTGTAGTTACGTATTTATGCTGTCTAACCCCTTCCCCTTCTCCCTCATCCTCACCCCCTCCCAACTAACCTCTATATCACTGAAACCACTTCTGTTTACTTTCCTCATTCATTCAGTTTTTTAGATTCCACATATAAGTGAAATCATATGGTATTTGTCTTTCTCTGACTGACTTATTTCACTTAACATAATAGTCTCTAAGTCCATCCATATTGTCCCAAATAGTACGATTTCATTCTTCTTTATAGCGGAGTAATACTCGATTGTATAAATGTACCACGGTTTCTTAATCCAGTCATCTACCGATGGGCATTTCGGTTGTTTCCATGTCTTGGCTATTGTGAATAGCACTGCCTATGTGTTTATGTTTTACATTTAAGAAGCATTTTATCATTTAAAGTTTGTGTTGGTGTAAAGTGAATAAAATGGATTTAACTTTTTTTTTCCACTTTGCTACCTAGTTGTCTAAACACTTTCAAATCCATCTTTTCCCTACTGATTTGATATGTCACCATGATCATCCACCAGGTTAAACTTTAAAAAAATATATATTTCTGGACTTTCTATGATTTTGCAATTTCATAATTATTATAATTTTATAATATAACTTGATAGCAAGTAGAACAAGTCTTCCATTGTGTTTTTTTTTCTTTTTTTTACTATTTCTTCAGCTATTCTTGTTTCTTTTTTTCATATTAGCTTTAAAATCAGCTTGTCTAAGAACCCTCATCCCAAAGGTTTTGTTTTTATCAGGACAGCGTTAAATTTGGAGATTCAGAATTAAAATCTTTCTGATATTGAGTCTTTTTATTTATCCGTCTTCTTTCTTTTGTATGTGTTTTGTTTTTTCTTTATTTTTCGTTTCTCTTCTTTCAATGAATCTATTTTGTTGGTTCATTTTCCAGTCTACTAATTCTGTCTTTTGTATCCTGTTTGCTGTAAAACCCAAGCAGTGTGTTCTTAATTTCAGATATTTTAGTTCTAGAATGTTCATTTAATTTTTAAAAATAAGTTTCAGTTCTTTGTTGAAATTCTCAATCTTTAAAAAAAAAATCACCTTTGTCCACCTTTTTTCTTATTTTCTTGAACTTCTTAATCATGGTTATTTAAGGTACCTTACTGGTAACTCTGTATTTGAGTCATTTGTGAGTCTATTTCTATTGTGTTTTTTTTCTTTTGGTTTTGGCTGTTTGTGTCTTTTCCTCCTCCTCCTGCCCCTTTTTCTCCCCCTCCTCCTCTTCCTCTTCCTCTTCCTCCTGCTTTTATTCTTGCCCTGTATGCGCAATTTAGGAATGGACTGACAGGTGAAGAATTTATATGCAGATTTTTGGACTCCTTGTGTTCTTTTTCCTGCTCTCCAGGATTGTGGCAGCCCTAAACTCTGACCTCTGTCTCCTTAGCCCAGCAAGATTGGTGCTTTCTACTTAAGCTCTGTTCTGCTATGCCACAGTTTAGAAAATGCCTTCAGGAAAAAGGCTGGGGTAAATGTGGAACTCGCTAGTATGCGCCTACCTTTCATTGATTATAGCCCCTCAATTCCTGTCTGTTATTTTATATATTTTACTCAGCATTTATGATTGTTTTTGGAGGTAGATGGTCTGATACAAGCTACACCATCATGGTTAGAACAGTCTCACCAATTACTATGTAGACTTTCATTTATTCTCCCAGATTGTACAGGCATGCCTCTGAGATATTGTGGGTTCAGTTCCAGACCACTGCAATAAAACGAGTTGTAATATTTTTACTGGTAGAGGGTCTTGCCTTCAATTTGTGAAAAATGCAATATCTCTGAAGTGCAGTAAAGCAAAGCACAATAAAATGGGGGTATGTCTTTATATGGTATTTCCATTCTCAGCTGTGTCAGGGATCCCCAGTCTAGAGATATTTCTAGTCTTCTGCCAAGCTGGGAGAGCGGTAGTCACCTGACTGGGAAGGGTGACTGAGACAAATGTGTGTCTAACTGCTTCTTACACAGTCTTTCAACCAATCTTGTTTTAGTCCTAATATTATCCTCACACTCAGAGGCACCTGGTGTTACCAGTTATTGAGCTAGTCTGTAGTAGAAGTTGACTTATTTCCCACTGCTGGCTTAGGATACAGCTTTCTCTAGATCCCAAGGCAATTGCTGCTTGTTTTTGTGTTCGTCAGCTTTCAGAATTCTATTGCTGTTGCTTTCTCTCCTGTTCTGTCTTTTGATCTGTTTTAAGTTGTGTTAGGTTTGAGGAAGAAGTAGAGGTAAATATGTATGTTCAGTCTGGTGTATTTAACTGTAACTTGCATTTTATTTTTTCACTTCTTAAAGGTTTAGGATAAAGAAATTACTCTTGTGGCTTCTTTTCATTTTTCGGAAGGAGTGTCTCACAACTAGGAAATAAGTCACTTGGTTGAATATGTTGTGAGACACTGAAAGTAATCTTATCTTTCATGTTTCCCCTTTCACTTCTTCTAGTGGACTACAGTAGTCTAGTGTGGACTCTGTTGAAAAATGGGGTTGTCAGCTGCTTTGAAACTCATCTACCAGAAGTCTTCTTTTGTTCGTAAAGGTGTCTGCACTTATTTGATGGCAGCTAGAGTCATAATTCTTCTGTAGCAGGGGCAGTAGATTCTCCTCTCCCTTACTGAGTTGTCAGAGCCACGATGCTCAGTAATGTGGTAGGCAGCAGAATGCAATACTGGAAACTCTTGGACCTTCCATCTTGTTAGTGTGGTCCCTCAAAAGGGACTGGCAACTAAATTTTGAGGCAGGGCCAAATTGACTAATTTTATTTTTCTTTCTTGGCAAAAGTTACAGAATAATGATGGTGGTGAAATATCCTCATTAGGCGTCATGATTTAAAGTAATTTGATTTATGAAATTTAGTTTCTAAGATGAGTTTATCTTGCTATTTTTTTCCTAATAGCATAGTGATGTAACTAACATGCTTTCATGTCCTGGAGAAATCATGAAATTCTGGCCGGTGTCCAGATAGCCATTATGTTATGCCAGTTGACCAGAGTTGGACTTGAAAGTATATCCCCATTGACTTTACTACTTTAACTTACTGATATAATGCTGTAGTGCTATGGTAGTGGTTAATTTCTTGTTTCTTTCAAAATTGCTAAAAACCTCATCATTTCTTACAGAAATTTTGAAATGGAAAATGGTTATATAATGTTTCCTAAGGTAGAAGAAGGTTCTTTCCCACAAAATCTTATAAGGCATAATTATTCCATTCATTTTTATCAAGGCTGGGTTCTGGCCTGTGGCCTCAAAATTCCAGAATATGAATTTTGTCATTTAAGGAAATTGGATCATTTTTTTTAGAGGCAAAATAAAATTAAACAAATTTTAGTATTGATAGGTGAAATGAGAACATGGATTTGTCAATTTACAATGAGAAATATGGTTAACTGTTATGGAAATTTTAATATAGTCTTCATGACAAGCCCATTTTCTCCTAGAAGGCAATAATATGTAGAAATTGTTATGAATGGAAATAGAAAAGATCAATTTTGGTGAATTAAATATTTATTACTTTTAGAGTAGTATAATGAATACATGTATCTCCACAGTAATGGTGCTCTTGCCAACAGGCAGTGCTAATGATTGCTTTTGTGACTCTTTCTCTCTCCTTTTCCTTCCATATCCCTCCCTTTAACTTTTTAAATTTTCACTACCTAGCATATTGTACTCTGGCTTCTATCCCCACCAGTCTCATGAAATTACTATTGCTAAAGCTACCAATAACATTCAAATGATATGTATGGTAAGGGTCTAATTATACTAAAGGCAGAAATATAAAGAAAAGATTGATAAATCTGTTCATATGAAAATAAACTTTTATATTTAAAGAAAACCGAAAAGCAAATAGTATATAAGGAAAAATGAATTTATGACAGAGAAGGGCTAATATCTTCATTAAAAGAGCTTTTACAAATTATTTTTTAAAAAAGAGACTCTCCCAGTAGAAAATGGACAAAGAAAAGAACATGAATGAATAGTTCAAAAGATCAGAAGTACAAATGCTCAATAAACATGAAAGAATTTTTAAAATCACTAGTAAGTAAAAGAAATTTGAATAAAAATGAGACACCATTTTCCCCATCAAACAATGAGTAACAGTGATAACTAATAGTGACGCAGTGTGCCCTGTTCGCAGTACATTACTGAAATTAACTGATCCTCCCAACAGTTCTAAGTACATATTGTTTTCATCCACATTTTACACATGAACAAACTGAGAACATAAAGATGTGTACTTGTACAAGGTCATACAAATAAGTGGTAAAGCCAGGGTTTAAGCCCAGGCTCTCCGACTCCAAGGTTTCAGTGCTCTTTACTACCTTTTATTGTCTATGAAAGATTTTAATAAATAATAACCAGTGTTAAAAGAGTAGTTAGGAGCAGGCACTTTTATACACTGCTGGTTCGAATATAAGTTGGTAGACATTTCTGTAAGACGGTTAAGCAGTGTTTGAAAGCTTTAACGTGCACATTCTTTGAACTTGGAATATATCCTAAGGAAATTTTTATGAGTACCTAAAAGTGTATATGGAAATTTTATCCGAAGTTCTTTTTTTTTTTTTTAAAGATTTTTTTTTTTATTGGGTAATTGGGGAAAGGGGAACAGACAAGTTGCTGTCCTTTTGTTCTTCAGTCTAGTTGTGGAGGACATTGCTTCACTGGCCCATGTTGGTATTGTCACTGTGCTCTTCCCGGATGAGGCAGATCCGTCGCCGGCCTCTGGACGGCCGCTCACAGCGGCTCTTGGCAGCTCACATCAGCTGCTGGCTGCTCACGCTGGCTGCCGGCCACGCGCGGTAGCCCATGGCAACCCACTGCAGCAGGGGCTGCAGCCTACGCCGTTGCCAGCAACTCACAGCAGCCCAGCTCCAGGTTGAGCTGTTGTTCACCATCTTAGCTGTAGAGGGCAGTGTCACTGGCCCTCATGTGGGATCCGAACCGGGGCCCTGCTGCTCAGAGCTGGTGTCCCAAGCCAGCTCTTAACAATGCACCACTCGGCTGGCCCCTGAAGTTCTTTTAGAATAGCAAACACTAAACAATTTAAATGTTTAAGAGGGAGTTAAATAACTGGGAATAAATAGTCTTATTGAGCTTGCCTTCTTATTGGAGATACAGTAATGCAGCTAATTAATTCATGTCTGAAAAAGTTTGCTTCTCCATATACATTAAGTATATATGGTATCTGACTTTACAAAGCATTCTTATACAATTGAAATGTCACTTTTTTCTCTTTTTAGCTATAACTAGGTAGCATGAGTAAAATGAGATAAAATTTATTTAACATTCAGTAAAGATTTTAAATAGCCTTTTTTTAAAGTGAGCAAATTACTAAGGAATTAGAATTTTAATTAAATATTATAATTGTTATAAAGACATGCTTATCCCTGTTAACTGTTCCTTTTTTTTTTATGTCTAGCATATCAGTTAAGATGCCTTAGACTTAGAAAAGAACCATGGAGAAGTATGTTAGACTACAGAAGATTGGAGAAGGTTCATTTGGAAAAGCCATTCTTGTTAAATCAACAGAAGATGGGAAGCAATATGTTATCAAGGAAATTAATATTTCAAGAGTAAGTATATTTTTCATTTGGTCATTCGAGTAATAGCCTGGTTATAAAAGGTCTCATTGTTAGAGAGTAAAAAAATTTATGGTAATGCATAACCTAAAATAAAAGACTGCCATAATACCAGAGAGAAACACTAATTTCAGAATAGTCTCTGTATCCTTTCAGAATTTCTCTGATGTGTGCTTTTGTTTATATGTCTACTGTTCTGTAACTTGAACATCTTAAAATGTTTTTATTTATAAATTCAACTTTTTTAACTTCCAGCTATATTTTGTTATTTGGATTGTACTTTATTTTTACCATTATTTTTTAACCACTCTCTTATTGATGGCCTTTTAGGTTGTTTATTGATGTTTTATTATTTTCTTCTTTCTTCCCATTTAAGATGTCCAGTAAAGAAAGGAAAGAATCAAGGAGAGAAGTTGCAGTGTTGGCAAACATGAAGCATCCAAATATTGTCCAGTATAAAGAATCATTTGAAGGTCAGCTAAATTTTTCAAGAGAGTTCCAAAAACTCCTAAGTCATATAATGACTTTTGGATACTTTCCTTATGAGAATCTTTTTGTGAATGTATTCTTAGGAAAAAAAGTGTGTAATTTTTGTCTCAATACATAACACACATGAGTATCAGCTTGATTCTAGCATAATACACCACACCATCCCTGTGTAGTGTAATACTGGTTCACTGTTACTATGATTGCTTAAGAAGAAGCAGTGTGGTACGTTCAAGAATTTAGACAAAGCAAGAATGGTAATTTACATTTTTTTCAACTAAACTCCCCTAAGTGCTATAGTGCTACTACCAAGAAAATGTTGTGATCTTTAGAAAGTATCCTACTCACTAGTGTTCTCCTGTATACCTTATTGTTATAATATTGATTATAATATTGAGTTATGTTGAAAATGTTCTCAGGTTCTTAAAACATCATAGCTATATTGCTGTTTTGGAAATATATACTAATATATTTGTTAATGCAGGAACTAAGATAAAGCAAAGCTTTTCTAAAGGCAGATCAGGGGGTTTATTGCAGTCTTATTGAGGTCATTCCCATTATTATCATAAATCCTTATACATTACAAAACAAGAAGATAATCTAGATTGAATCTAGTAGAAAATAGTTTAAATGACTGTTTCAGGGTCACATCACATACCATTGTCAGAGTCTGAATTAGAGCTAAAGTATCTTTGCTCCCAGATAAACTAGTAAAATAGAACATACTTTAAAAAAATAATGAATTGATTAACACATTATGTCATAAGGTACTCAGATTATTCATATATTTTATTATGGCAATGAAATGAGGATTGATACCTATGTAAAAGAGTACAATGTTAGCCATCACTTCCTTCCCAGGACCTTAAATTGTCTTTGTCTTTCCCCTAGTATCTTTTGTTTACTTTCTTTTTTTCTTTCATCGCCAAGATTTTAATATTTCAAGTTAAAAGACTTGAATGTATGTCAACAAATATTGCAGCAGACGTTTTGTTTTTATGTTGAATATTTCACATAGAAATAGCTAAATGATTCAAAAGGGGTAACACATTCTTTAATTAAGGTTTTATAGCTACTATTTAATTTTAAAGGAATAAATGGTAATGGTAAATATATTCAAAAAGTGCAGACATGCATAAACCCTAAGTACTGTTTCACTCTCCCCCTCATCTCCATTCCCTAGGGGTTAGCATTGTTAATTAATAAATCAGTGTTTATTCTTTACTGTATTTTCTGGAACAAGCCTACATATAGCATTTGCTGTTTAAGAACAAGTGGGATCATATGTATGTGTTTCTGCGTCTTGTTCTTTTCACTTCATGGCTCTTTTCATGTCTTTATGTATTGATGCATTTCATTCTTCATAGCTTTTGTGTAACAACTGTAGTGTATCCTATTGTAGGCATTTTATGGCTGTGCCGTAATTTGTTTAGCTAGTTGTCTGTTGTGGATACATAGGTTGTTTTTAGTTTTTTACTATTACAGATACTGTTACACTGAACATTTCTTGTATAGGTGTCTGTGTGCTAGAGCAGTGTTTCTATAGGAATGGAGTTGTTAACTAAAGGGAATGAGAGTTCCTGTGTCTTGCAAGCTCTCCAACCCTGGCTCATAAGTTCATTCTAAAATTTATATGCTGTAACTTTATCTGGTGATTCTATGTATTTGGTCACAGTCCCTGTTTCTGCGTTACCTGAATGAATGACCTTTAATTGATTTTAATCCATGTACTCTTTGGACCAGTTTAGCTTCTCATAGAGCTTTCAGGAGCTCTATAACACAAATATGTAATTATTCTCTGAAATGATTAAAAATAACTTACACTATGTAAACATTTAAAATCTATCAATTAAAAAAAATTAGCAGTCTGGTTAAAAAAAATGCCAGTTTTGACATTATGTTTAATGTCTGCCATGAAAGATGAGGAAATTAGTTTATTTACACTTTCTCCCCACTAACTGATTTTTGTTCATCTTGACATGGTAAAAATAATAACTTATCCAGTGTTTTAAAATTATAATTCTTTGAATTCTTGCTTAGCTGGATTTCATCAATTTTTTTTTTATGAAGAGCTTATGGATGCTATATTCCCTCAATACAATTAATATTTGCATTTCTGAGACTATCTAACTGATGCTTTTATATGTGAATAGGTATCTTTGATAACTCTTTTTCTCTTACAAGCACATTATATCTTCTGAATATTTCTGTAGAAAAGTTTGTAGTCAGCATACTGCTTTTCCTCTTCTTGGAGGTAATTTGCTTTATCCTTATCTTGCCCAAAGGACTCTTTCTTTAGGATTGAAATTCACGAGAACATGACATAGTATTAGTAATTCTGAATCTCTTTTTCTGGGAACATTTTGTACTCTTTCAGCCTGAAGATTCTGGTTTTTCTTTGTTGCAGGAAAGTTTTTGTTTCACTATTTAAAAAAGAAAATCCACATATAACTTAATGTAAGGAAAAATGTTCCAAAATTTGTTTGCTGGAAAGTTGTCTTAGCTTATAAATGAATCCTTTCTTATAAAGTTTCTCGTACTACACAATGTGCTCTCCAAAAATTTTAATACACAAAATGCTTTTGGGGAAGTAGACTTTAGAGTTAGTTTTGAGCGCTTATAGAGGTCATTAGGTGGAATCAGTTTATAAAAAAGAGGCATCAAAGATTTAATATTGACATCATAATTGCATTTCTTAGATACCATTGTAAGTAAGTCTTCTAAAATGACTAAAAAGGCAGTATGGTTATGTTGTGACAGTCACGCATATAAGCCATTTCCAATGACAACATGAACAAATTTAAAAAGTGCCCTCTTTCAGTCGACTTAAAAGGAAATACAGATCATGTGTAATGGAAAACTGATAGATAAATCAATAAAAGACATTGATATTGAACATAGATATAAAAAGTTTTGATAAAGTTATTTCATATAATATGAGTAGGGAAAAAACTATTTCCAGGTATATAAATGTATATTTAGATTATGATATTAAATATTATAATTACATACTTTACTATTTCATCTACATCTCTAACATTTATAAATTAAAAAAATTGATTTTATTAAGAAAGTAGGGGTTTATCTTGTATATTTGGCTGTTATACATTTTTATTTACTCAGTCATATATTTTTGGTTGTCTATGTAACTATCATCTTCTAATTGCTTTCATTTTTTTGTCTTATTTTCCTAAAATCTGTATTTTTCCCTCTTAAGTTTTATTTCTTACTGTTTCTAAAGTAGTTTTTTATATCTTTAATGGAAAGCTTTTCAATCCCCTATATGATGATAGGTGCTGGCGTTCTACTTGTTTCCCGCTGGTGCTGCCAAAATTTAACTTCTGTACTTGAAGAGGCTAAATTTGGGTTGCTTTCTGCTGCAGGTAACAGAAAATCTGTCCACTATGGCTTAAATGAGAAAAGTATTTACCTCTTAAAGATAAGCAGTGCTGTAACAGGACATATATGGCAGCCCAGCAGTGTTAGCAAGATCCAGGCTTTTTCTGTCTTTCTACTCTGCCATCTTTAGTATGTAAGATTTTCAGCCTAACGCTTTTCACTTTGTCCCAGGATGGCTCTTGCAACTCTAGGCAAAAAGAAGATGGAATGGCAGCACCAGGAGCTCTTTTCTGAAATCTGTTCTTTAATCAGATAAGCAAATACTTTCTCAGAAGCCACTATTCAGAGTTCCTCTTAGGTCTTATTGGCCCAAACTGTGTCAGTGACCACCTCTAACTGTAGGGGAGACTGGAAATTAGAAAATCTTGGATTTTTTTTCACTTCTACAGTGAGAGGTGATAAAGGGAGAAGAGTGGTAGAATTGGCTTTTGGGTTAGCCATCCAACAGTGCTTTGCTGAGTGATTGCAGCTCATATCCACACGACTGTTTTTCTGTTAAACTCTTGATCATTTTCTAACATGCATTGAGGTTTTTTCACTTGCTTTACAGCCTTTTTGCCTGGACTTCGAGCAGTGTCTTGTGGTTGTTTAGTGTATGGTGGTGTGTATGAATTACCTAGACATTTTGTTTAAATGCAGGTGGTAGTTGTTTTGGAGATTTTTTTGGAGGCTATTTCTCCATTGGCATGTGAGCGCATTAGTGATAAGGATGGTGACTTATATTTCTGTATCCCTAACATCTTGTGCAAAGTGCTTGGCACATAACTGATACTTAGACATTTGAATGTTTGAGTGGATACAAAAACAGATTGGTACTCCCCTCATGGAGAAAATTTTCTGTTAACCTTACATTTTAAGTAGTATTTATCACCAAAACAAATAACCAATGTTTAAGCAGCAGAAAATATTGCAGCATTCATGTACTAATGTTCAAGCATGTTTTGTTTTTTTTTAAAGATTTTTTTTTTAATTGGGGAATTGGGGGGATCGGAACACTGCTGGGGAATTGGGGAAAGGGGAACAGACAAGTTGCTGTTGTTTTGTTCTTCAATCTAGTTGTGGAGGATGCAGCTTCACTAGCCCAAGTTGGCACCATCATTGCGCTCTTCCCGGGCGAGGCACATCAGTCGCCATCTTCTGGACGGCCGCTCACTGCGGCTGCTGGCCACTCACGCTGGCTGCTGGCCACTCACGCTGGCTGCTGGCTGCTCACGCTGGCTGCTGGCCACACACGGCCATGGCAACCCACTGCAGCAGGGGCTGCATCCTATGCCGTTGCCGGCGACTCACGGCAGCCCGGCTCCAGGTTGAGCTGTTGTTCAGCATCTTAGCTGT